TAGGGCCCCCAAGCTCTCCTCATTGGTTATTTTGTTAAATAGTATCAGTTTCAAAGGCCAAAGCCCATGTGGTACCCCGTTTCTCTCTCCCCCCCCCCCCTTACCTTATAACATTTCTCTATCTCCTGTGAAAATCTGTTTTCCTCTTTCTGCCATTTGTTGGCATTTCTCTATCCTCTGTGAAAGTTTGTTTCCTTTTTCCCCATACAGTAGGTCATCGGGTTACATGGGAGATCCATTCCTACGGCGCGATGTAACGCGATTTTCGCCTTAAGTCAGAACCCACCTACATAAACACCTACGTCACTCACATGGAGCACATACACAGCAGTAATGAAGTGAAACAGTAAAAAAAATTTAAAGATAACAATTCCTGATTTTTACTTGTAGTAAATAAGTAATAAAAAACATAAAGCACATATGTACATACGTCGAAATGACAATACTTTTTTTTATATAAATAAATGGGAGATAGCAGCGTAACCACGAAACAAGATATGTCGAGTCCAATGTAACCTGAGGACTGTCTGTACTCTGTGGCTTTTCCTTATCTTCTGTGAATGTATGTCTTCCTCTCCCCTTATCCTGTGGCACCATTTTTAGTCTCTGAATGTATGCCTTCTGGTGGCTCCAAGCCCTCACCTATGCATTCCTCCCCCATGGACCCTCTTTATTTCTAAAATTCCATAAACCTGCTTATTTTATCCCTAAAACTCCTTTTATTAATTTACAAAAAAGCCAGTTTCCTTCCCAGTTCCCCTCCCTTCCCCCACACTAGTACTCACAGTTTATAAGTCTGTCGGAGGACACCCAGGAGCAAGATGAAGAAAAGGCTTGCATTATCAATGAAATAGTCAAATTTCAGTGAAGAGCCAAAGTTGGTCAGATATTGGATTAAAAGAAAACTAGCGGCCCAGTGCATGACATTCGTGCACTGGGGAGGGGTCTCTCAGCCCGGCTTGCACCCTCTCCCAGTTGGACATCCCCCAAGGGGTTCTTAGCGCTGCTGTGGAGGCTACCCCCACCGCTGCTGCACTCGCCAGTCGTGAGCCTGGCTTCTGGATGAGTGGCACTCCCCCTGTGGGAGTGCATTGACCACCAGGGGGCAGCTCCTGCATTGAGCGTCTGCCCCCTGGTGGTCAGTGCGCGTCATAGTGACCAGTCATTCCACCTTTCAGACAATTTGCATATTGGGATTTTATTATATAGGACTAGAGGCCCAGTGCACGAAATTCGTGCGGGGGTGTGTGTCCCTCAGCCCAGCCTGCACCCTCTCCAATCTGGACCCCTCGAGGGATGTCCAACTGCCTGTTTAGGCCCTATCCCAGTGGGATCGGACATCCCTCTCACAATCCAGGACTGCTGGCTAACTGCCCTCTGCCGGCCTGGTCGCCCCTAACTGCCCTCCCCTGCCAGCCTGGTTGCCCCCAACTGCCCTCCCCTGCCAGCCTGGTCACCACCTACTGCCCTCCCTTGCTGGCCTGGTTGCCCCCAACTGCTCTCCCCTGCTGGCCTGGTCCCCCCCACTGTCCTCACCTGTAGGCCTGATTTCTTCTAACTGCCCTCCCCTGCTGGCCTGATTGCCCACAACTGCCCTCCCCTGCTGGCCATCTTTGACCACATGGAGGCGGCCATCTTGTGTGTTGGAGTGATGGTCAATTTGCATATTACCTCTTTATTAGATAGGATGATCTTTTGTTTCATACTGTTAGCATTTGAAATTGCATCAGTTTTTTGCTAGTGATCTTCATTAGATAATTTTTGTCTTTAATGAAAGGTGCTTGCAAAAGCATTTCTCCTTTATTTGGGGAAAACCAAGTCCCTGCCTGTGGCTATGGTCTGAGCTTCATAGAATTCCAAGGCCAGAGAGTAGCCAACCTTAAACAGTGGCTCCTTGAACTCATAGAAACAGAATAGAATGGTCTTTAACAGGAGCTGAGGGATGGAGGAAATGAGGAGATGGTGGCCAAACGGTACAAAATTCCAGTTACAAGGTGAATAAGTTCTGAGAATTGTACAGCATGGTGATTATAGTTAACAATATTGTATTGTATAATTGAAAGTTGCTAAGAGAGTAGACCTTAAATGTTTTTATACTCACCCCCCGCCCCCCGGTTCAAATGGTAACTATGAAGTGATAGATGTGGTAACTATTCTCTTCATAATTTGATAATATCTATATTATAAAAGCCTAAGCAACCTTTATGACAGAGGTCCTCAAACTTTTTAAACAGGGGTCCAGCTCACTGTCCCTCAGACATTCCACACATGCGCACTGCGGGCCTGGGACAAGTCGGCTGCTAAGCAGGACAGGCAGTGGCGGCAAAAACACCCGGCGGGCCGGATAAATGTTTTCAGCGGGCCACATGTGGCCCGTGGGCCGCAGTTTGAGGACCCCTGCTCTAGAGTCTGTGCCCCTAACTTCTACACTGTATCTCTAACTCCATGTTCCTGTCTCCCTGTTCTTAATTAATCTGAGTTATTACTGATGACATTACTTAGCTTGGTATGTTCACATCAGAACAGCCAGTCAGGGGTACTTAACATCGACCAAGATCATAGTCAGTTAACACATTGAAGACGGATCACGAGAATTCTCGCTTCATATTACACAGTGTTTTACAAAGTATCATACTTTAAAAAGATGTTAGCTTGTAAGAACATGTAAATAAGTAACTTCAAAATGCAATGGGTATTTTATTTTAAAGCGTGCCTTTAACATTTATTTAAAATGTTTTTTCGTTCAATAGAAACTGATCTGGCCATTGGGTAAAGCTAGCAATAAAACTACTAGTCCACAATGTGTTAAGATTGCAATTTCCAGACTATAAGAAAGTGAAATGGGAGGGGACAGTAGGTCTTTTCATGAACTTGAACTAACAATAATGTGGGTGTGTATGATTGCCCACAACTGCCCTCCCCTGCTGGCCATCTTTGACCACATGGAGGCGGCCATCTTGTGTGTTGGAGTGATGGTCAATTTGCATATTACCTCTTTATTAGATAGGATGATCTTTTGTTTCATACTGTTAGCATTTGAAATTGCATCAGTTTTTTGCTAGTGATCTTCATTAGATAATTTTTGTCTTTAATGAAAGGTGCTTGCAAAAGCATTTCTCCTTTATTTGGGGAAAACCAAGTCCCTGCCTGTGGCTATGGTCTGAGCTTCATAGAATTCCAAGGCCAGAGAGTAGCCAACCTTAAACAGTGGCTCCTTGAACTCATAGAAACAGAATAGAATGGTCTTTAACAGGAGCTGAGGGATGGAGGAAATGAGGAGATGGTGGCCAAACGGTACAAAATTCCAGTTACAAGGTGAATAAGTTCTGAGAATTGTACAGCATGGTGATTATAGTTAACAATATTGTATTGTATAATTGAAAGTTGCTAAGAGAGTAGACCTTAAATGTTTTTATACTCACCCCCCGCCCCCCGGTTCAAATGGTAACTATGAAGTGATAGATGTGGTAACTATTCTCTTCATAATTTGATAATATCTATATTATAAAAGCCTAAGCAACCTTTATGACAGAGGTCCTCAAACTTTTTAAACAGGGGTCCAGCTCACTGTCCCTCAGACATTCCACACATGCGCACTGCGGGCCTGGGACAAGTCGGCTGCTAAGCAGGACAGGCAGTGGCGGCAAAAACACCCGGCGGGCCGGATAAATGTTTTCGGCGGGCCGCCTGTGGCCCGCGGGCCGTAGTTTGAGGACCCCTGCTTTACGACGCCAACAACCAGTCAACCAGTTGCTATGACATGCCCTGACCACCAGGGGGCAGACACTCAACGCAAGAGCTGCCCCCTGGTGGTCAGTGTGCTCCCACAGCCAACCTCCTGCGGCCTACCAACGTCCTCTGGTCCCTCCCCCAGCTGGCCAACCTCCTGTGGACTTTCCCCCTGGCCGGCCCCAGCTGCAGTCCCTCCCCGCCAGCTAGCCTCCCCAATCGGCCCCTCCCCCCTGCCGTCCAACCTCCCGCAGCCCCTCCCTCCCTGGCCGGCCTGGTCCTGCCCCCGATGGGCCCTGATCACTGGCCAGGACAAGGGACCCTACCCATTCACCAATTTGTGCACTGGGCTGCTAGTATCTCTATATATAAAACCCTAATATGCAAATAGACCGAACGGTGGAACAACTGGTTGCTATGACGTGCACTGACCACCAGGGGGCATGCACAGAACATAGCGGGTGTTGGCCGTGGCCGGATGGTGGAGCAGGTGAGTGGGGGCACCAGACCAAGGTGGGGTGCTGGTTGCTGTAATCGGGGCGAGCCTCTGGTGGTTACTGAAAATTCTTTGCTCCTGTGAGCCACAGTCCCGCCTGGCGCTCACACCTGCTGCAGGTGCTGGCCCCCTCTCGTCCTTCAGGGCTTCTCTGCCTCCCCCTGCTCCTGAGGGGCGATCAGGGCCGGCAGCCGCCTCTCACACCCACTGCTGGCGCCGGAGCCACCACTCGCACTTACTGCTGGTGCCGGCCCCGCTCACACCCGCAGCTGGCACTTGCACCTGCTGACGGTGCCAGCCCCAGTTACTCCGCACCATCAACGGGTGCGAGCGGGGCCTGCGCTGTCAGTGCATGGGAGCAGTGGTGGTGGGAGTGGGGCTGCCGGCAGACAGGGGACTGGGGGCTGTGGTGGGAGGGGCCAGGCCGGGTGTGGAGGATGGGCCGAGACCCGCCCCTGTGCCCACCACAGTCTTGAGGCCCACAGTTCCTTTCAAGGTGCATGAATTCATGCACTGGGCCTCTAGTGTGTGTGTGTGTGTGTATATATATATATATATATCATTGAGTTGTGTGTGTATATATATACATATATATACATACATATATATATCATTGAGTTGTGTCACTTAAACTTATACAAAATTATGTGTCAGTTATATCTCTATGAAGCTGGGGAAAACATTTAAATAAATGAATATATATTTTTAAAGTAACTCTTTACTAAATTTAGCATGTGACATCTTTCCAAAATATTGTTTTACCCTTTCTTTTCAGGATGAGCAGAAGCTCCAGGACAGTTTAAGGCAAGGGGCCACAATAATTGCCACACTCATCAAAGAGAGAAATTCTGCATTCATTGGTCAGCTACTGGTAGCATGAAGGACACAGAGAAAATTGCCTACTGAGTTTAAAGAAATGTTTATCTAAGTTCCTCTGTCCTGCTTCCCCTCCCTGTTGTGTGTGGTAGCATATTTAAGTTGTCTTTTATGTCTCATAATTTGTAGGATATGATGCTTGGGTTATAAAAGTGGATTAATGTTTTATATTTGTGAAATAAAAATTTACTTTCATGCATGTCATATTTAAATTGCCCAAACAGAAAAGGCTAGGTAAGTGGAATATAATAGCCTTCATATAATCTTTTTACAAAAGCATGAAAGATCAATAGAAACAATCATGTGTGAGCTAATCCTCCAAGGAATGAGAACTTAGAAATCTTGAACTATTCTCTCTGTGTTAATTAGTAAATCACACTGTAATGAAACTAATAGATAAGGTTCAGAATTATATTTCTTTACTTTAAAATTTTCCTCTCATCATTAGATATTGACTTGTGTTCTAATTTTCCATGCCTTAAAAAACAAAACAAAACATAAAAACAAACAGAAAACAACAGTAAGAAATTGTAGGGATTCTTTAAATATATTCACTATTGGCCCTCAACATTACTCATGATTCCTAAATGAGATATAATATACTCCTTAGATTACATAATTTTTACTCATTTTAAAAGGTCTCTGATCTTTCTGAATGCATTTAAGAGAAGACTGGAAAGCTTAATAAAAGTGAAGTTATTTTAGTGAAGCCCAAGTTAGTCTTCAAAAAGACAGGGAGCCATTGCAAGAATTTAATTATTCTTTTGATACAGATACTATTTTTTAAGTCAAGTTTCTATCCTTTCAAATTTCTACTGATATGTACATCTTAAATACTGATGATTTCCCCTATATTAATTACATTGTATAATTATGTGCATGCAGTCATTAGAGATGCCTTTTACTCCATATTTACACTGACTTTCTTACTTTTATTTTTTAAATATATTTTTTATTGATTTTAGAGAGGAGGGGAGAAGGAGAGAGAGATAGAAACATCAATGATGAGAGAGAAGCATGATCAGCTGCCTCCTGCATGCCCCCTACTGAGGACTGAGACTGCAACCCAGGCATGTGCCCTGACCGGAAATAGAACTGTGAGCTCCTGGTCGATGCTCAACCATTGGGCCACAAGGCTGGGACTGGCTACATTGACTTTCTAAGAATACAATAGATCAGATTATTCAAGGGCTTAGGCTGCACATGGAAACTATAAAAGTTGCATGAGATGTTTTCTATAACATATCAACCTAGTGGAATTTCTTCTTAGCGTGTTGGATGAGTTTTCCTATATTTCTCAAGTATCTCTCTTAGTAGGAGAGTGTATGTGTTACATTTAAGTGATAGTCGGTAGAAAACAATGGACATGGAGTAAATATTACAGTTCATTCCCCTACATAAAAGGCATTGTTTCAATGTAATTTGGATCTGAGTTCCTGGGCTTGCTACTTTCTCTCTCAGGATGTTAAGAAATATAAAATAAATCATTTAATTCAAATCTTGAGAGTGAACATCTATGGGAAATGTGTGATTTTTGGTTAGGATGTCTATGTTAAGGTGGTGAACTAGTTGTGTTGTGGAAGGCTCACCCCTTCTGAAGCCTGTCGAAGTCTTCAAGTGAAAGTTTTTAAGAATTTGAAATTGCTTATACAGGCCAATGGGGAAATGTTACCAACATTCAGAAGAAAGGGTGAGTGTTTTAAAGTGTAGCCTGCTAATGGAATGTTATACCAGACAAGACTTTATCTGGGAGTAAGCAGTATGACTTTACCCTAAGGTAATAGGAAGCAGTTAGTATAATGAGGTTTAGTTAATAAAATATGAAATTGTGTCTAAACTAATCACTACCATCATCATCATCAAATTTTATTTTTCGTTGTAGTTTACTAGTGATTCACAACATTGAAAATCACTTAGAGAAACCCCCCCACATCTTTCACTGCTGAGATGGGAAGTTACGCTCAGGGTCTCAACTACCACGTGGCTGCCCAGTAACAAAAGGCCGGGCTTAGACTCAGGACCACGGGAGATGTTTTAAGCGCAGCTCCCTGTATAACCACGATTGCCGCAGAGGGCACCTCGCAGTGAGGCTGTGGGGAACAAGCCAGAGGCTCCACGGGAGCCCCGGAAGAATGGACAAGGAGGGTCAGTCTGCCCAGTTACCAGAGGAAAGTCCCGAAGCGCTTGGCTTTCCAGCCATCTTTCCAGCATACAACCTTGTAGCCAAGGATGAAGGGAGTGGAGAGAATGAATGACCAGGAGAGACAGGTTAATGAGTTGTTTCTATTGTTTAGGAGACCCCGAGGCCACTTCACAGTTACATTTTCATCCCAGCTTCTGTAAACCTAATTACTTTCATGAGAACTGTGTTTTCACTTTATTTTCCAAAATCCCTTAAAACTGAGAGTAGTTATGCCTCAAGGTTGCTGAAATTGCTTTCTATCTGTGGACAATTTGGCAAAAAGACTCTCTCCCCACCCACCTAAATGTATGCTAATTAATAAATGCAATTTAAAGAAAGTCTTTTTAGGAATTTAACAGTGTCACCACTGTTTAGATTAATGACATATTGGTAAGAGGTAGTAGTTGTGTGTTGTTTTTTTTTTTTTATTAAAGTGCTCAATTTGAGAGATAACTTGTTGCATATATACTCATTTACAGATAAAATCCAGACCTGCATATTCTATCCAGACCCATATTCTATCCATTCTTTCTGTGGTCAGTTTAAGCATTTTGCATTTGTTTACAGGAAACCTTTCTTTTCTCATGCTAGTTTATTAAAAGCAAATTTTACTTTATATATATTAACACAATGCTTATGTTATAAAAATCAAGTTGCAGTAGAATATTTTTATACTGAATCTGCAAATTTTACTTCCTTTTAATGTTTAAACTAATTACATCAAGGAAGCATCAAAATGTTTATATTAAAATTTAAAGAAAGTCATTTGGAAGAAGGATAATTGGAGATATTTTAAAAGATTAATTAAAAATAAACAGAATAAATGAAAATACATATCCTTTTAGTATTTATTAGAATGGTTTAAAATAAGTGGACTAGAAGTGGTCGTGTTGGTGGTTTTGATATTGTAACATTTATATATGTTCTTACACATTTTTAGTTTTTAGTTTCAAAATTGAGAAAACTATGGGTATTTTTAAAATGAAAAGTACCAAACTACTATTAAAGATTCTCAATATATTCTCTTTACCAAATAACATAGGTAATTAATAAATAACTAAATAAACCACTGATATTTTAAAATCAAATGGCAATTTTCATTGATATTTATTGTATATATGCACATTTTCATACTAACTTAGTCACAATTTAATAACAATATAACATTTATTCTGAAAATATAACAATGTGATGTTTTCTTTGGTATAAAGATAGAATTTGGTATCCAGATCTATTAGCCTATAAAAACATTAAATATTTGCAAAACCAGAAGTCTCAACTAGATTTTTTTCTTCCCTCATATTTAGCAGCTTTCCTGCAATATTGTGGCTGCTAAGGATTTAAAACCTGTACTCAGACACAATGGAAAATAATACTGTGATCACTTCTTAACAATATCGACATGAGTGTGCTGGGTTGAATTATTGTTCAGAAATATTCCTTCTCTCCACTTAGCTATCATGGGAGGAATATAATTCTATTACTTGACTTTGGGGCTCATCATGTGACCGCTTTCACCAATAGAGTGAGTCAAAATGACAGTGCACCCTTGATAGATCTGGATATCAAATCTAGACTAGAGGTGAGAGACTATTATGTTGCTGCTTGTTCTCTCCCACTTCTGCCACCACCAGGAGATGAACTGACAAATGGATAAACAAGCCCAGCTGTTTAGTTGACTTCCAACAGACAGGTGAGTTCTATAAATGCTCATTGTTTTTTAATAATAACAAGTTTTGCCCTAGCCAGTTTGGCTTAGTGGATAGAACGTCGGCCAGTGGACTGAGGGTCCCGGGTTCAATTCCGGTCAAGGGCACATGCCTGGGTTGTAGGCTCAATTCCCAGTAAGGGGCATGCAGGAGGCAGCCAATCAGATTCTCTGTCATCATTGATGTTTATCTCTCTCTCTCTCTCTCTCTCTCTGTTCTCCTTCCTTCTGAAATCAATAAAAATATATTAAAAAAATAATAATGAGTTTTGAATCTTTTGTATTGTACACCAGTTGGTAACCAAGTGTGGCAGTGTTTGGTATATTTGCCCTCACAAGTCTAGGATGTAAAGCAAAATGCTTCTAAGGAGAAATGTTGGTCAGGGCAATGATCCTAAAGTGCTAGAAGGTTCTATTTTTCCCCTTTAATAGCAAGAGAGAGAAAATGGTTTCTATACTCTCAGTGGTTCTTTTCCTTTCCTTGCCCATCACCACCCACAACACACAAACATTTTGGAACATCCTTGGATCTGCATGTGCCAAGAAAACCTTCAAAGACTGATGCCCACATACAAGTATTATCAATACCATCTCCGTGAGCTCTATAGTTGTGGGGATTTCCTCAGGCAATGTATGATCAAACAACTGGATAATGAAAGTGTAAGAAGAAAAAGACGAATCGCAGTTGCATATAGCCATTTGTGCCTCAGCAACACAGAAAGACATGCAAAGTGAAGTTCAACTCCATCACCATCTTTATGATAGAAAGAAAGGTCTAGAGTAGCGGTTCTCAACCTGTGGGTCGCGACCCTTTGGGGGCTGAACGACCCTTTCACAGGGGTCGCCTAAGACCATCAGAAAACACATATATAATTACATATTGTTTTTGTGATTAATCACTATGCTTTAATTATGTTCAATTTTTTAACAATTAAATTGGGGGTCACCACAACGTGAGGAACTGTATTAAAGGGTCACAGCATTAGGAAGGTTGAGAACCACTGGTCTGGAAGATGTTCAGGCATGAAGTGTGAAGTCTTCCCTTGCCTTGAGACTTCCCTCAGCACATATGTTCACAATGCTTACTCAGTGGGAAAACTTTGGGGTGAATGGTACTCGGTATGAGTTTGACCTGACTAGAGCCAGATTGTTTTTCTGTTCCCATCTGAAATATTGGAATCTTTGATTTTTAAAAATGTCTTCACAGCTGAAATGCATTATGCAAATGTATTCTCTACTTAGTAAGGATGCTACCAAATAATCTGAACAGTTGTTAAAACATCTGGGGCTGTTTAGCAGCATGGA